AACGTGGCTCCCTGAAATAACTACATTCTACATAAATAACAGCATCTTTGCCATAGACAGATGCCCAGTCTTGCGCATAGAAACTCTGTTATTTAGATGACCAAATGGTTACATCATGTGATTCCCTCAGGAGTCTGGCTGATGTCGGAAAATGGTAAGTGAGACTGAAGGAGACTGGCCAGGCTGCTGGGTGTGGGGGAGGGGAGAAGACAGTGGCTCAGGGGCCAGGCTGTCCTGGGACAGAGCAGCGTCTCAGAGCAGCTGTCGTATCTGCGTGTCATCTCCTAGAGCATGGACCCTGGGATGAGCATGAGGGCACATGAGGGCAGCTGAGGCCACTGAGCAGAACCTGGGATCAAATAACCCTGGGGACAGGAGGTCCAGAGCATGAGAAGCCCGGCGGCTGGGGCAGCCTCGTCTCGGGTCCCTGCGGAGGCAGGAGAACACCATGGTCTGCGAGCTAAGTCACCCAGCACACATGACAAGTGCCCTGAGTCTGAATGGGGCTCAGCAGACGTGAACCAAGTCCTGCACTCACCATGGTCTGTGCTCTCTGCTGACTCCCGTCCTGCGGGCTGTAATAGAACACCACGAGCCACAGCAGGTCTGCAGGGGGCTCAGCTTCCTCCCTCAGCAGCTGCTCCATGGCCAGGTCAACCCATCCTCCAAAGTGGGTCAACAAAAACCAGCTCTCGAAGGGGTCTCGCTGGGACCTGGAACAGAGCAAGACACACATGGCAGCCTCGATTCGATCCTCGTCCTTTTGTTCCCAGTAACTTTAATGTTTGTGAACTAGTACTTTAAATTGTACTTACCCACTGAAGAAAGACCCTCAGAGACAAACTGGATTCAGAAAACCTTTGTGTCTCACCTAAGCCCATCACAGGACAAACGCAGGGACCCTCCCATGCACACATGCAATGATATTTATGTCTTTATATCCAGGCACCTATAGGATTTTAGGCTCTGAGAGAGATCTGGGGACTGTGGGGGCAGCATGAGGAGGAAGAGGTGACGTAACAGCAGAAATACACTCTTCTCACAAGTGGTTCTGGTAGTGTAATGTGTGGGGGTGCACTCTGCTTCAGCTCTGCAGTCCTGACAGTCACAGCACTACAAGGGTGGAACAGCCTAAGCTCCTGAGGAGAACCTTCGTTAAACAGGAGCATCATGGCCTCTGCAGTGTCTGCAGGACTTGTGGAGTCCCCACGTTCTAAGCATGGTTCTTGCCTTCTAGTCACTGTCCTATACCTCCCTTAGAACGAGTGATTTCTATGTTTTAAATCATGTTCGCAGGACTGAAGGGAAGAGGAAGGCAGGTGCCATCCTGTCAGAGGAGGATGACATCACTGCACAGGCTGAAGGAGCAGGGCTGCACAAGTCCCTCCCCCTCCCACAGACCTCATCAGCGAGTACACTGAGTAGCCAACCCTACTCACAATACCGCCCTATCGGGGCTGACCTTCCCCTCTCTTCTTCTGGGGCGGGGGGGGGGGGGGAGGGTGGTGTCTTACAGCTGCTCCACACCCTTTCCTATAAGATACCTCAAGGCTCACTGAGTGCACAGGCACTGGCAATGACCCCACCCGACCACCAGCCTTTGTGTGAGCTGTTATAAGAATCTGCCAGGGAGGAATGTTTGATGGAGAAAGCATTCAATCATACATGTGAGCACAGCAGCACCTACGGTGCGGTCTCAATCATACATGTGAGCACAGCAGCACCTACGGTGCGGTCTCAATCATACATGTGAGCACAGCAGCACCCACGGTGCGGTCTCAATCATACATGTGAGCACAGCAGCACCCACGGTGCGGTCTCGATCATACATGTGAGCATAGCAGCACCCACGGTGCGGTCTCGATCATACATGGGAGCACAGCAGCACCCACGGTGCGGTCTCGATCATACATGTGAGCACAGCAGCACCTACGCTCGGCACACTAGAGGAACTCGGAGAGGGGACAAGAGGGCCTTGGGCAAATGAAGAACACGCAGTCATTTATCATCTGGATGTGAGCAAGCTCAGGACTGGAGACACTATGAGCTGGGGGCGAGCCTGTGTGGGAATGCTTTTGGAGAGCAGCACCCGGAGGAGGGCCTCCACCATGCTGCCTGTTCGCTTTGGAGACTTATTTATTTTTACATTTATATGTGTGTCTGTGCATGTAAGTGGCCACAAAGCCCCCAAAGGGGCATCAGAACCTCTGGACCTAGAGTTACCTACTGTGGGTGTCAGGAACCGACCGAGTCCCCTACAGAATGCATGTGCTCTGAACCACTTAGCCATCTCTCTAGCCTTGGAGAGATTAGAGAAATAATGGCAAAGAATAAAAGGGGGTGGCATACAAACAGTTAACATTTCCTCCTTCTGATCAGGAGCTCAGTCTTCTTCCTAGAGAACCAGTGACAGCTTCATGTGGTAGCCAGGAGCTCAACATGTGGGGCGCTGTTCATTTCTGGAGCCTCTCTCCTTTGCAGACCTTACTAAAGCTGACTATGTAGATGCCCTTGCAATGCTGGCTGCTCACTCTGACCCACACTTTCTCCACTTCTCACTCACTGACAGTCGTGTGCTTGTCTGAGAGGGGTCGAGCAAAGCCTTCAGCTGCCAACCTGCTCAAAGAGGTCAGGGTGCTCACCCATGAGTGTGGTCTTCAACTGCTTCTCTGAGGAGCTGGGAAATGTGCAGCAGAGGCTGGAGCCGATGCCTCTGTGGGATAGCTGTGGGTGGAAAGAAGTCGGGGGGAACTGAAGGAAAGCCAAACCCATGGGGAGACGCCCGCAGCTTAGACTGAAAGCATTGTGCAGAAATGCCCCCGCCCCCGCCATTCACAGAACCCATGTCATACTTGTCTCAGCCAGGATCTGTCTCTGAGTCAAACTTCAGTTTCTTTTGTTGTCTTGTTTGAGACAGGGTCTTACTATTATAGCCCAGGCTGGCCTTGAATTTACTATTTGTCCGCCTCTGCCTTCTAGGAACCAGGACTATAGCCCTGCATGCCATGCCTGATCTCAGGTGTCTTTACCTAGAGTACACAGAAGTCAGGAAATCTTGGCCAGCCTTGTTGCAGATGCTCTGCATTTTTCTTCTTTCCGTATTCTGGCTCCGTCTCAAATTTGTGACATCAAAATACTATTCAATATGGTCCATATTGAATACATCATCAAGGACAAGAAATGGCTAGCTCAACTGTTTTGCTGGGGTGTGATTAGGCCAAGGAAAAAGCACAAACAACCGTGCAAACAAACAGAACTTGTGTGTGTGTCTGGTTTCATACCTGCCTCTGAGCATCTGATCTGCATGTATCTGTAGCTAAGATCAACCACGGACAGCTCCAGAGGTAGAGAAGCCACAACTGCTGGACCCACAGCAGCCCCTCCCTGAGGCCAATGGCATTTCCTCCTTCTAGTACTAAGTACGATTTTTCCTCTCCTGTAGTGTGAAGTTCATCAGCAGTGACTTTTTACGACCCAGGACCTCACCGTGAAGGACAGTTCTGATGAGCAGGCTTACACACTCATCTCTCAATGTGTAGGTAGGATCAACACCTAGCTGCTCAGTTTTTGCTTAAAGTCACTTGCTGTCTTTGGGGGATAAGAAGGCAGACAGCTTGAGTTCATGCTGTGAAACATGACTGCATCCAGGTCTCAGAACCTATGCTCCAGTGTGTTAGGAGCCTCAGGCTTACACAGTGGGCTAAGGACAGTCACGGTCCTACTTTTCTCTTCTGCTGACACCTTTTCCTACTGCGTCCCCACTGCAGACGCCTTTTCCTACTGCGTCCCCACTGCTGATGTCCCCACTGCAGACGCCTTTTCCTACTGCGTCCCCACTGCTGATGTCCCCACTGCAGACGCCTTTTCCTACTGCGTCCCCATTGCTGATGTCCCCACTGCAGACGCCTTTTCCTACTGCATCCCCACTGCTGATGTCCCCACTGCTGATGTCCCCACTGCTGACGCCTTTTCCTACTGAGTCCCCACTGGAAAAAAAGAGAAAGAGGAGAAGGATGACTGCTCCTAAGTATGGTGGAAGAGAAGATTTCAAAACCACCATGCGGGCATCCCACTGAAGCCAATGTGGTCACCCCATCCCAGCTCTGCCAGAGGGCTCTGTCACGTAAGTCACCTTGGGCAGAACCCTACATCTTACAGAAAAAGGTAAAGGTATTTAGACTTTGTAAAATGCCTTGAAACTCTCGACTGTCCGCTTACCTCAAACAGATCTTACTCGAGTATGGGGGAAAGAAGCTATAGTGGCCACAGCAGGGAAACATGAGCCTCCTTCATCCTTCCCTTCCTGTCACAGCCTTGTTACAGACTGTCAGCTGGCGTCAGAGGGAAAAGGCTCCTTTATGTTCCATAGCTGAGACATTCCCTAAACATGAGCTCATAGACACAGCGCAGATCAACACCAGATTACAGACATGGCCTAGAGTGGCAGATGAATCAGAAAACACTGGGGCCTAACAATAGAATTTTACTGAATCTTTTCAAAATCTTCTCCTTGGCTTGGATGAAAAAAAATCTCCCTGAAATTCAGTGCCCTCATCCTTCACTTTATCCTTTGTTCTATAACAAGGCTGCATGGAGAAAGAAAACAAACAAAGCCGCTGTTGCATTCTGACTCAGCCTGTCCCTGAGCCTCAGCAAAGCTGCTATGGATGGACAATCCCAGCAGCTGGGCTCTCTTCTTTTCCCTTATCACCCCTGGAAGTGAAGCAGTATTTTCTGAGGAGGAAGAGAAGACCTGGGAGGCAGCCACCGTGACACAGACGAAGGCACCTCAACTCACCTTCTGGGCGCTGGGACAGCATGGCAGTGAGGGATGGAGCACCGTATGGGAAGTAGGTCTTGAGGGAAAACTTCATCTACAAGAGTCAAAATGGAAGTGGCATGAACGCTGGGACTGGGGGGCGGTGAGAATAAACCTCTGGCTGCCTCAGCCCCAGAGACCAGACCCACTGTCCTAACACAGCAGAAGGTATCCTCATTTTATAATCTCTTAAGAGGCCAAACAACATCTTCTGGAACTGAGGGCAGGCACATCATCTTGCTGCCATTTTTACCGAAGTTTCTGCTCACACAAGTCCAGCCACAAACGCTATCTTCTATTTCAGAGAGAGCTGCTAACACCTGTGGGACAGGGCCTCACTGTGGCATTGATGACAACCAAAAGCAGCCCTACACTAAGAGCATGAGGCTGTGCATACCAACTGCATCTCCCAAGGGCATGGAGGTTTTGCAATAAAACTAACACAGGTAAAGTCTACAACACACGAGTTACAGGTTCTAAGTATAAAGCTTGAGAATCTTGGGTGAGCATGTGAATCCCCCTGACCAGAACCTCCTCATGACACACAGAATGCTGCTGTCACCCTGGGGAGTAGGTCAACCGCCAAACCCTAGGCTTGCAATCAATATTTTAATTTCAACAGAGATCAAGAATTACACCCCAAATTGCGCACAGACAGACACACCAAGTATGCATGCTTCTGATCTAGTCTTCCCGGTCACAGGACTCATGCACCAGGAGTTGCTTATCTGCCCTCAAAGATGAGTAGAATTAGCACTGCTATGGACACTCATGTCTTTGTCGCAGGTCTTTGCAAGGGTGAGTACCATGGAAGAGGTAACTTTTCAAGCCCAGCAGTGCTCCATCCCCATCACCGGATGAGAATTATCTGCCAACACTGGGTGCTGTGGAACTCATTGGCTTTAGCTGGTCTGCCTGGTATGAAACATTCCTTCACACATGGTTGATTCTGAGCTTGCTCTGTGTGGCAGGTGATGCTGACCCCATTCCTGTGCTCAGCAACAATTTGAATAGCGCTCTGAAGTGTGTGTCCATTAAAAAAAAAGCAAAAAACAAAATACTGGCTGTTGCTTCCTACAAAGTTGCAAGAGACAAAGTCTTCCAGGATGAATACTGAAAATGTCCTTGCCTAAAACTAGGGCCCAGGGTGATCTCTTACTCCTAGACATACATGGCAGCAGTCAGTGTCTTAAATCAAAGGCACTGTAACTCCAGTGCAAACCCACAGCACCAAGGCCAGCAGACACTCATGGCAAACTCAGAACAACATTCAAGTCAATGCTGAGAAAAAAACTTTCTCTCATTCTCTGCCCTTACTTGGGCATCCCAGAAGTCCAAACAAGGACAAGGTTTGCCAGAGGTCATTTCCTCCCTGGGGACACCAAGAGTGCGGTAAGGGAGGACGGCACATGTTTACCGCTGTGCTCACAACCGTGAGTGCCAGCCAGATGCCAAGCTGGGAATCATCAATGCTGTTTCCCCAGGGAAACAGGGATGGCAAGAGTAAGTCACAATGTGTACGGTTGCCTTAGGAAGCAGGAACATCTGCTAAACCCTGAGACCTCCACAGCCTTGGGCTGAACACCCTAGCTCTGCCCTCCTAAGTAAAGCTGCAGACAGCAGCAACAGAGAAAGGTGTAGTAGGCAAAGCACCACAAAAACATCCCTGTGAAACAGGAAAATCTCCTGTTTCACATGGTCATTCTAACCAGCCAGCAGCCCTCACAGATGCTGTCCAACCTCTCTGCTGAGGGGAACTTGGAGTCCTTTGAGCTACTGGTGGTATCTAACTTCTACTACTTCTTCAAGTCCCTCCCTGTCTCCACCTCCTGTCTATCCGGGGCTCTTGGGGGAACAAAAACAATGACCACTGAGTACACCCAGCCTGCAGTTTCTATAGTACATCCTAGGTAGACTACACAATGTTTCTTGATGGCCACGGGGCCAGCTGCAGACATAAGAACAAGCACAGAGAGCGAGGAGGCAGGGATGAAGGCTAGTGGGGATTCTCCCTCCAGAGAGATGGCCAATGTGAAGACACAGTCAAGACACAGCAGTGGGCAAATGGTGACAGGCACAGGGTATGGGGGAGGCAGACAGAATCTTTAATAATTTTCAGTTAAGTGTTTCATCTCTGCAGGAGCTGGGAGTGCAGCCAGTGTCAAAGCATGCGCCCAGCACGTGTGAGGCTGTGGGTGGTCTCCAGCACCAGAAGGACACAATTTCTTAGAATAAAGATCCTTTCCACCCATTTCCAAATGTCCACCGCAGCCTCCTTTGCTCTGCAGGGACTGAGCAGCTCACAGTGTGATGTACCTGCTTGTGCTCTTTTTCCAGAGCTTCTGCCAAGCACGACATGAAGACCTGAAGAGCGGCGAGCACCTCTGGGGCTCCGTCGGTCTCCAGCAGCACAGACCTGGAGAGAGCAAGGTGAGATAGTGACACACTTCCCCCCACATCACAAATCCATGCCACAGCTTGAGCTGCATCTTAGTTCTCCTGGGTGAGGCAGGAGGAAGCACCCCTGCCCATGGGCTGGCTTCTGTTCTCAAGCTCGTTAGTGTTCATGAGCACAGCGCCAGCAGCATGTGCTCTGCTTTTGTCACCAGGACAGGACTAGCTGCCTGGAGAGCAACACCCTCGGTCGGAATCACCAGAGGGCTGAGGAATCAGATGTACGTGGGTTTGGTTTCCATCCATATTTATATAATTAACTTTTTTTTAAGAAAAAAAATTTTCTCAAACTTTGACTTAAACAAAGACACTAGCCTGACTTTTTACATCTGTGGCCATTTAAGTTAAAGTTGGTATGTTTTAATGGTAACACAAATGGTGAGGTATTCGTTGTAAAACTTCCCTTCCTAGGTCTGGAGAGATGGCTCAATGTTAAGAGCACTTGCTGCTTTTCCAGAGGAGTTGAATTCAACTGCCAGCCTCCATATCAGGCAGCTCACAACCCTCTGCACCTCTGCGGGCACCTGCACCCATCTGCATATACCCACACAGACATGCAAACACCTACAGATAATTACAAATAATAAATCTTTAAAAATTCCTTTCCCGGAGCCTGCTGTCTGCCCTGGAGCCCTTCCTCCGTGTCTTCTGTGAGAAACAGGTGGCTGAAGGCAGCCCAGACCCCAGCTGCTCCACCCACATGGGGCCGGATGCTTTAGTCTGTCTTTAGGACTGCACTGCTACAGTCGCCATGATCCTCCAGAGCAGAGCCCACCCGGTGTGGTACATACTCCTTACCTGTCCTCAGGACCCAGAACCACCATGCTGTTGAAATGTGGGCTTGTGCTGCCTTTCAGAAGGCTCTGCTCAGAATAGCTGTGTCTTTGGCAAAGCCCAGTCAGCCCTCCTGTGCTGAAGGGCTGTACTGCTTGCTTAACCTGTGTGCATATTTCACTAATTCAATTCCACTCCTCTACCACTGAGTATATAAAAAGGTTCAGGAATACCGCCGCGTTCCTACTACTACTGCACACTAACTTCTGAGTTTTCACCACTAACTATCCAAAAAACTCAAGCCTCAAGACAGTCAAAGACTACTGCAAGGATTCCTAATTATGTTTGGAAGCTGAGCATTTCCAGACTGACTACTCCCAAAGACATTGTATTTACCTGAACATTTCATCTACAATCCTGAAGATGGCAGGATGGCAGGCTGCTTGAGGCTATAAAAGGAAAAGACCGTGAGACAGTGAAATACAATAAGTGTCCATCAATAGCAACTTTAGATGATGAGGAATACAAGGGGTCTATGGCTGCTCCAGAAAGGGGGCACGGTCCTTTTCTAAGCAAAAAGAGCACTGGGTGCATTGAAAAACTCACACATAAAATGCCAGCAGTGGGCAGGGGCTGTGGGCAAACTTTACTTCTTTTTATATTCCTATTATATCCTCTATTTTCTCTAATAAGCCCATATATGTAGAAAAAAGTAAGTTTCATGAGCAGTTACAAACCACTTTATGACTCAAGCCACGAGACCTGCCTTAGGACCTCCTCAGCTGGCCTAGAGGCACCCCAGCGCTGCCTCCACCCCAAATTGTTAATGAGCACTAAGTAAGAAACATGGGTCTTATGCTGGGCATTCAGTGCAGGACATTTACCAGTTAACAGAAAGCACAGCTGTGACACACCCAGTGACGGCCAGCTCTCTAGCCCTAGAACAGCCTGTTGGTGGGTTCTTGATGGTTCCAATCCAAAGAAGCTGGCTCCCTCAGTGGGCCTTACCAGTGTCCACACATTTTTTGGTCAGAACATAACACTTGAGTTTATAAGAGATTTTAAAAATCCCATTTGCATTATAAAACTCACAGTGGCACCCAGATATGCATAGGCCAGGCTCTAATGAAGGGAATTTCTGAGTCATTTTGTGCTTGCTATGACTAGTGTTGAGAAACATTTCTCATCGCCATCTTAGGCCCTATGCGTCACTTTTCTGAAGAATTCCGAAGAAAGCTCAGTGTCTATCTCCTTGTGAGTTCTGCCAAGGCAGCTTAACTTCAACATGGAGTATGTGCCATCCAGTGGTCATATGTGAGCATTACAGACTGCCATTCAAAAACATTTATGATTTTCAAGTTAATGCTTTCTGACTTTGAAGTAAAGTAACCACGATTTCTAACCCTTTGTCAATATACATCTTTATCCAAATGAAGTGAACCTCAGATTCTCATGAACATGTCACCTACTTAAGAAATGGACGACAGGTTATTTCTTGACTCTGATCTCAGAAAGTCATTTAATTTGCCTGCTCCTCAGCCTCACTATAAACACTTAACAATTGTTAGGGGATTTGGACACAGGCCCAAAAAACACTGAAGGGGTTTCTATGTGATCATAATGGAAAAGTCCAAACAGGAGAAAAGCAAATTGCATGTCTTAAAAGAAATAGAAATCAGCTAAGTTTGCCAGGATAATTCTGTTTTACGTGGGAATGCACCTTCTAGCCCCCCTTCCCCCCAGCCACAAGACCAGACCAGGATTCAGGAAGGTAAAGTCATTTTCTTTTCTCCCAGTCCCACCCTGGCCACTGAACACTGGAGAATCACGTGGGCTGATGGTATGGATTTCTAAATAGTAAAGAAAAAGAAGATGCAGGAGGCACCTGAGTGACCACCAAAACCACAGGAGGACACAAGGAAGGGTGTTCTAACCTAGTTTGTCAAAGAGAAAACTGGATGAGCTTTGCTCTGATGCAATGGTTTCCTTCTGAACAGATCAGCTAGGGATCCCACACACCCTCTCTATGTGGTTGGACTCTACAGGCAGATGTCTTTCTCTGTAAGGACTCTAGATCCATGGTTTCTCCCAGCTTCACATGCTACTTTAGATTCTACAACAGGAAGAGACAAGCAGACGGGGCACCTCCTGAAATAGCCAGGACAAGGGGTTCACTGAGAGAATCCCTCTCCCCTCCTTACTGGAGGTCTTCCCAGGACATCATTTCAGTGCTGGTACATTACTTCCTAAAGATCAGAGTATTCCCAGGTCCCTGTGGCACACTTAAGCCAATTTCCTCACCAGAGCTAGAGCTCTCATGCATGCTTCTCTGAAAGTCAAATTCTACCTCTTACAGAATCCCTGTGAAGAGGAGACAGATTTAAATCCTCTGCAGAGTGTTTCACAGGTCATCAGAGGGACATCAAAGGTCACTCTGCATTCCAGGAATCTACAGCTTTGCCCAAAACATGAAATCTGTGCAATTATCTTTTCTACCAAAATAAGGGAAAAGAAAGAGAGAAAAGGCAAAGATGCCTCAGGTTCCTTCTGCTCCTCTGTTTTTCTCCATCCTCCCAAATCTTGTTCCTTCTCAAACCCTCTCCTCCATCTGACCTAACAATCTTCACATGGTGATGGCTTCATGCCAAGGAAACCACGTCGTCAAGAGACACCAGGACCACTCTACTCCTTTCCTGCCTCCACGTTTCAGTAAGCACTGGAGGGTGGACAGATGATGGAGACCTGTGGCCCCCTCCCTCTCCGCTGGGAGCCAGAATGTCTCCATCTTTCCTTTAGGTTCCCCCTCCCCAGGACGGCTCATTCCCATCCCTCCGCAAGGAGTCAACATGGACAGCACAGAGCATCAGCGAGACAGAGGCGGGGAGCTCTGCTCCAGGAGCTGTGCGAATGGTCTGGGCTCCAGCTCAACCGTGGAGCTCACTAAACTGCTGTTCTCGTCCCAGGGTGTCAAGAGTTGTTATAAGTACCTGACACTCCAGAGAGAACACACAGCAAGTTTCTCAGGAAGAAGACACATTTTTTTTTCTATCAACTGTTTTCAGATTGTGTGTGTGTACGTTTGAGAGACAAAGAACTAGAAAGGAACCTCAGGTGATTCACAGAGAAAAGAGAGTGCCTGAGTCTAATGAAGAACCACAGTGAAAGCCACAGTCTTCTTTCACACAGAACCAGAAGGGAAACAACAGCTCAGGTTCAATACTTAAGGATGGATTCTTCTTTCTCGGCCCATTTTAATGTTGTTTGATGTCAGAAAATGGTCATTTGAGAAAGTGAGCTGAGAAGTTTCCCTTCCAATTTGCACACCAGAGGGGAGCCAGCCCCCCCCCCCCCACTCTACTGACAAGAGAGACATCCCTCTTTGTACACAGACATGAGTTAAAAGGTGGTGACTATAGTTATCAGAGACACAAATATATACAAATTCAAACAAAACAAAAATAAAAGCCTCTTCTAAAGGAATATTCCCCATAGGCTTCAACAATAAAAACTCTTTTACCGAGTTAAAAAATGATTTAGCTTTGAAAAAAATCTACCTATATAAAAAAACTTCACATTGATAGTGTAATAGGCCACTTTCATAGATACATACTTTCGTTGTGGCATTTTCTTTTCTATTTTTAAAATGTTAAACATAAAACTAAACAACTCTTCACATTTTAGAATCTATTTTGCTTTAAAAGATTCATGTTTCTTGCAACAAATTTGAGCTTTCTTTTTAATCTTTACCAGATGCTGTTTATACTACAAGCAATTTTTTTCAGTACCCCATAATGCAATTATTGTTTAATTAGTGATAAATCTGTCATTCCTGGGCTTAAAACCTTAACAAGTACCAAATGTGCTCTTATGTTGTAAGTTTACGTGAGGTCTCAGTGTCAGGACAGAGAAGCAGGGGTGCACACTGTGGGATGCCCAGCTCCGCACACTGGACAAACTCTTCCAGCCCTGGTCCCTGTGTCCTGCCACTGCTCACCTTGACCTCTCAGTGGGAGGGGCTGTATAATCCATTGTGTTTTTGTGGTCTGTTTGTGGGCCTCTTCCCCTCCACCTTCCAGTAGCTACAACGACAACCCCAGGAGTGAAGATTATCCTGCACCCTGGGCTTTCTTTGGGGATAGTATTGGGACATCTAGTGCCCTCGTGAGGCTGACACTGGAAAGCGCAGCACAGACAGAAGCCCCACAGCACTTTTCTGGTACACCAAGGCCAAGTCTTCCTCTCCAGCTTTGGTTTAATTACATGTATCACATTAGAGCTCAGGCAGGAAGTACTTCAAGAACACTCATGGAAAGGCAGGGAGAGAAAAGGCTGGAGCAGTAGTGAAAGCTGCTCATGTTGAGGACAGGAGTTACCACTTGTACTTTAGCAATGGGATTGTGCAGGGGACTTTCTGGGAAGTTTCGCCTTCTAAGGCCACAGTGACTGCCCTCTGAAGAATTCCTACCCAACAGAAGGAACACACTGAGGTGTCTGGAGCTCGCAGAGACAAAGATACTTTTTACTGAGCTACCAATTCTTCTAAGTAAGATAATTAATGAGAATAGTCTCCGACTTACAAAAGCCTTACCTGGCCTCCTGCCTTCCATGCACCCCTTCTTTGGGGCAGCTCTTCTAGGCCCTAAAGTGGTGGCTTCTAGAAGGCGGTCAGCTGACAAAGAGTGCATGGAGGGCATGGGAACCAGCGAGCCCCTGGCTTTGGCACGTAGCACAATGCAGCAGCCAAGCACAGGCCACCCTCCCATCCAGTCGGCCCTTTTCATT